ATGTAAATGTACCTAAGCGAGGCTACACCTTTAAACCAGCTGCAGTTAATTTCTTGGACGGTAGAAGGCCGGAAAAAATGGTTTCAGAACCAGTGCCGCTGTTCCATGTTTCGCGACCTGTGTTCAACGTTCGCATGGGAAAAATATATTTGACCAAGAATTTCGCCACGTTAAGCGAACGGGTCTGACAAGTCTCAAACAGCCTGCAAATCTTCAAAGATGGTAATGATGGTCATGACAAGCCCAACCAGCGCTATAGCATCATAGGAGATTACTGTACATCGCGATTCGCCCTGTCACGTCGTCCCCTTACTTTATCGTTGTCTCTTTCTGCGATGCGAGCAATCCGTGGACAGCTCCTGTTCAGGTGCCAAGCGCTGTTAGCACGTTAACATGTCCTTGGATCTACTACGGGTTCATGACCAGGATAAAAAAAGAAAGCTAGACGAGGTTAAGATAGATGCGATGGACTTGCTGTCTCTGTAACTCTATTTCATGACCACTTGGAACCTGCAGTCTCCCACCGCATCCGCTACACATCCTAAATTCGTCAACATATACTCCCACACCGAGCTGTATAAACAGTCATTCATCTACCTTGTTTTGTATTTCCCTGAAGAAATTACAGTTCCACGCCTTACTAACATTAACGTCGATGTCGATATGGTCATTTCTGTAGTATAAAGCAAATTCGGCGACTAGTGCATCAGCATAGGAAATGTGAAGACGACCATGTTTTGTTGGCATCTTCTGAAAGTGATCGCTAGAATTCTCTGCAAGGGATCGCAGCCGAGTGCGACGTGGTTGGCTTGAGTGTGGACTGTCTAAACCCGAAAGCTTTTTGGTTTGTGCCTCTCCTGCTCGTTGCTCTCGTCAATTAAAGGAGAGGCAGTGGAGCAGGTGGAGAAGTTCAAGTACGTCAGGATCGTGTTACCCGGTGATAGAAAAGTGAGTTGTGAATGCGAAACTGAAAGTTGTGACTAAAGCAGAGCTGAGACTGAAGACTAAGCTGTCGGTTGTCTCGATGCTCATCTTCAGTCATGAGTTTTGAGCCGTGACTGAAAAACATCGATCCCCGGTACAAGCGACTGAAATGGCTTTCTGAGGCAAATGTGTAGACTCATCCGCCTCGACATGGCTCAAACTACAGACACCGAGAGATCCTTGGTGCGCAGCCGCTGCTTCTCCAAATTGCGAAGCCACAGTTGCAACGGTTTGGGCCATTCGTCCAGAAAGGAAGGCGAAACAGCTGCGACTTGCCCAACCGCCTGATCGAAGACTCCTGGGTTTGTCAAGAATAACCTGGGACACTTGCCAGACTAACTCTTCGCTAAACTCGGATCATCTTCTTTCAAAACTACAAGAATTGTCTGAGAGGTTGCCGTTGTACGCATTCCGTAACCCTGCCCAAAGCCAATCTAAAACTAGTTGTGACATGTGCTTTAAAGTTCCTTCTGGGCGAATAATTTCAGCTAGAGTTGAAAAACGTTTTGAGCTAGAGAAATGTAGGCAAAGAGAGCTGCTTGAACCATTTGGATGACGGTCTCCGGCATTTCCATAGCGGCTACAGCCTAC